CACAGTACAGTGCTTAGGCACCACAGATACCTCCTGCCTTCATCTGCAGGGAGACCAGATCTTCTGTAATCCCAAATCTTTCCATCACTGGGACTGTGCAAGGCCGGTTTCTTCTCAGCCCTTAGCAGACTTGCCACATTCCATAGCAGTCTCTGCTCTACAGTCAAGTCTTTTGTTTCCATGAAGACCAAGTCCCAGAATCTAATAAATAGCTGTGAGTGAATGCAACACAGCAACGCTGATTCACCTTCATTTGCAGGCTGACACTTGCTAGCTTGTTTTTGTTCCTTATTTGAACTACTGTCAGTTCCTCTCCATAAGCAGGCAAAATCCACACCCCCCCTATTGCTTGTGATGAGGTACACAACCAGACTAGCTGACAAGGTACTTTTAGCCAAAAGGCATTTTTGCCCTGGAATGTCTTTAATATGGACGTCAGGCAAAGCATTGCCAACCAGTTGAGGGAGTTTATTGTCCCACTACACTCTGCACAGGGACATCCTCACCTTGAATATTGTGTGCAGGTTTGGGCACTGCAATATGCAAAAGCTATTAAGCTCTTAGAGAGCATCCAAAGGAGGGCAACGAAGACGGTAAAGGGCTTTGAGGGGAAGCCGTATGAGGAGTGGTCGCATGAGCCTTGGTCTTTTCAGTCTGAAGAAAAGGAGACTGAGAGGAGACCTCATTGCAGTTACAACTTCCTAGTGAGGAGGAGGGCCAGGCACTGATCTCTTCTCTGTGGTGACTTGTGACAGAACCCAAGGGAATGGCCTGAAACTGTGTCTGGGGAGGTTTGGGTTGAACATTAGAAAAAGGTTCTTTACTCGAAGGGTGGTTGGGCACTGAAAGAGGCTTCTCAGGGAAGTGGTCACAGCACCAAGCCTGACAGAGTTCCAGAAGGGTTTAGATGATACTTTCAGGCACATAGTGACTCTTGGGAATGAGTGCAGGGCTAGGAGTTGGACTCCATGATCCTTGTGGTTCCCTTCCAACTCGGCACATTCTGTGAGTCTGTGATTCTGTGACTTGAACAAAGGGTGGCACAGAGACCTACCTATGAGTTTACTACTGTTAAATGACTGAAATGCCATATGAAATGCGTGTTGAAGTAATTATACCCACTAAAACCTTTCAATTAAGATGTAATTTTCCACCAGAGACAACAGGCAAGATTCTGTATCCAAGGTAACTCCACAAAGCCCATTAGAGATTGACTGAATTATACTACAGCAAAAGATAGTAGAATTGATATTTTTAATTTCCTCTTATGGTAGTTGCCCATCAGAAACCTGGAAAATACTTGCCTAAGTTATTTATATGATGAACTGAGGTAAGATGAATAAAGGTTTATTTTACAGGCCAAAACCTCTTAAGGAGCATTCACCAGCAAGTTAGGTGTCTTATACTGACCAGATGCATTGCTGCTGCAGCAGATTTGTTAGATTCTGTCTATCATGCTCCTTGCTGAAACTGAAATCATTACAGTTAGACATTTAAGAAATCTAGGCCGTGACCTTTTCTAACTTACTGTCACAAGGAAGGTGCAAAAGCATATAAGCTTCAGCCTTCATCTTTAGAGCATATTCAGGGTGACAGCAGATCCATTGCATTTCATTTCTGTGTAGCACAATCCTTTAATTCCTTAATTCTCTTTATAGCAAATACAGTAAATAAATATCTATATATAACCAGATGGGAAATATGGAGGAAGGATGAGAAGAATAGCAAATGTAAGCCCATGTAAGTTATACAAGCTTATTAAAACTTATATAGTCATTTAATAGAACTCTATGTAATGGAAGACCTTCCCAAGACACTAGGGAATAGGGCATTTTCACAGTCTTGAAAAGGTGGTTCCTATCCACAGATACTTTTTCAGTGTGATGCTGAGTCACACAAGACTCAGTGTCCATGATGATAGGTAGGGAAGCTCAGATTTCACAAGAAGATAACAATGTTGGGTGATTACAATAAATCCACAGACACAGGCTTTTCTACCAAGAGTTTAAAACTCTTCTTAGCTACATGCAAAATTTATATCCTTGTATCCCATTGAGATTTATGGAGATCAATTTGTTTAATTTCCTCTCTAGTGGCCTTTCAATGTCCTTAAATTTATCTTTAGAGCTCTAATGCCAGTTATATCAGAGAGATTCTATTGTGTTTTCTAATAGAGGATATTAAATATGTAATACTATTTAATATATAATAACATTTTAATGAAACATTAAATAAACTGGAAGTAAGAGGAAAAAGTCCCCATCTACTGCACCATATTTTTATTTAATATTCGGGTGAGTTTCCCAGAAAACAACAATTAAATTTTCTGAATTTTCTGAAAAAAATCACAAGTTCTGTCAATTCTGTCAAGTCTGTACTGTGCCCTAGGAAATTAGCCCTTATGAAAAACAAGATTCACCATTTTGGGGCAGAAGAGAACTTGGGGCCCAGAAGTGAAGTGCTGGAGGGTGTAGAGGCAAAGCTGGCACCGTTTTCATGGCACCACATTGCCATAGCCCACAGAGCTGAAAGTACACATCTGCAGGGCACACTTTTAACCTGACACTAGTTAAAAGCTTCTCACCTTGCACAGATGAACCTGCACCATGACTGCCTTCGCAGGCCTGAGAAGTTATGTCCAGTTGCAGATTCTGTAAGCTGACAGCCTCTGTAAGCACAGATGCAAGTCTTGGACCTCAAAAGCAAAACTTCTGAGCTGCTGCAACTCCTGACAGCTATTAAAGTATAAGATGTAGTTTGAAAGAGTAGTTTATCCTATTGGGCACAGAAGATAACTGTATTTCTTGGGCCTTTTGATGTTAAAATGGATTCTAACCACATGTTGGGGTGTCCTAGTTAGGACAACTGAGACCAGTTCATCAGGGTATGGGTGTAACCCAAAACTGTGTATTCTATAGCCTTCCATGCCATTTCCCAGAAACTGTTATCAATGAACCATTTACACCATCTGACCATAGAGCCTGACTCCTCAGGCTATAAACTAGGTGTTAAGAGGCCTGTGAGATAGGAGGATGCTCCTGTCCTCACACCCTTTGTGGAACTCCCCGCCCGGAGGGAAGTGCTGAGCATTCCTGCCTGAACTGCAGGATATATAATCTTGGAGTCTTGGAACATTTTTAACCACTCTGTGGGATCCAGAGAAGGACTGCGGCTCATCGCTCTCAAACAGACTTGGATCACCACCCTATACTGGACTCCAATCACCACTTTGACCAGACTGCAACAGCTCTCCCCCCAGCATCTCACTGCAATCACCACTTTTGACTAGACTGCAACAGCTCTCCCACCAGCAGGTTCTTCCCCTCTCCCTTTACTTTGGACTCAAGCGGGGCCCAAGGAACACCACGTTGTTCATGCCCCAGGGTACTGGGTTATACATTTGGGTTTTGTGGGTTATGACCAATTGTTTGTTTGTATGATTGTACTTACTGTATTATTTTAGTAAATTGTTATTCTGACTTATAATCTCTCCATTGAGTTGAGTTCATTTCCCCTGCTGGTTAACTCTTAAACCAGCACATGGGGTAAGCATGGCTGATCTGTAACCCTTGTGATGAAAGGTCTGGGATTGAATAGCAGCATCTCTGTAAAGACTAATAGATACAAAAACCACACTGAATATGTCAATTTAGGTATTTCTAGCAGAAATATATAAAAAATGGGATGCACAATGCTTTTCTGATTTCAGAAAGTCTTCAGTTTCTTTTTTGGAATTCAGGTTCATTTAATTCCATTTAATTTCAATTCTTACTGTTCTCCTATACTATCACCCTCCTTTACTAGACAATATCCTATTTGCTTCTCTTCCTGTGAATTTGCACATTGGAATTATCTTGACATCTAGACCTAACATTTTTATTAAGCATGCTTTTACATTTTAAAAGTGGTGGAAGACTGCATACTCTTCAGTACTGTATGCCTGGTTAAAAAAACAAAAAAAATTTTTTTTGTCTCCATGCTGGCTACTTAGTTTGTAGCTACTGGTAATGTAAGGATCAGATCATAGTTTATCTCTAGGGTCCTGTCCCCAGGAATATATTTATCCGAGTGTGTTGCTGAGTCAGCCCTAGTGACACATCATGCCCCCTTGGCTCTGGAGCCTGCCATGCTCTCTCTCTCAATTATGTTCTGTAGAAGCATCAATAGCTTGTGTCCTTTCTTCAGCTGCCAGCTGATCATTCACATTGCTCCAGTGTACAGTGTCTCAGTGGAGTTTCTATCAGTTTGACCTTTATGTTTCAGATTAACAATAAAGTCGAGAAGCAGGTACTGATCTCTTCACTCTTGTGACCAGTGACAGGACTCGAGAAAATGACGTGAAGCTGAGTCAGAGGAGGTTTAGGCTGGATACTAGGAAAAGATTTTTCACCCAGAGGATGGTTGAGCACTGGAACAGGCTTCCCAGGGAAGTGGTCACAGCACCAAGCCTGACAGAGTTCAAGAAGTGTTTGGACAATGCTCTCAGTCGCATGGGGTGACCCTTGGGCGTCATGCATAGGGCCAAGGGCTGGACTCAATGATCCTTGTGGGTCCCTTCCGACTCAGCATATTCTATGCTTTTAATATACAATTACAACTTTGGGTCAATATTCTGTGGTTCTCTTTTCATATGAGGAATCAATAACAGTAATTTAGAGAATTATCCCCTCCCCTCCCCCCTCTAAAAGATTATAGCTGGTTTGGAGTAATTTCAGGTGTTTGGACAACTGCCTTTTATTGACATTACCACTTAAAACTTTAGGTTCTTTCTTTCACAAACTCTTTCTATTGCAGGAAACCTGCAAGATAACATAACATGCAGAGGACTTTATTTAATTTCCAAATTGCTCTTTTTGTCCTATAGAAAGTCAGCTGAGAATTGAAATACATTTCTTGCTTTCTCTCCAGATTCACCTGCTGTCAGAATCAGGGCACCTGACACAATCACAGCCATGACACAATTCAGCCATGGCAAAAACATCAGATGAACTTCACGTGGCTGGTGGGGCAGGGGCTGATCTCAAGTGATGTTTATACTGAAGAGCCTGTAAGGCCTGGCAAAGGGATTTTACCTACTGTGACACCTATATTCAAATGCTAGTCACAGGGACAGAATAAAAATATTTAATATGCAGGCTTACAAAATCAGTGTTTTCCTCTTCTCTCTTTTGACAATATTTTCAATCAGAGTGACATTTGATCCTATGAAACTGACTGTCTACAATTTTTGAAATGAGTACTTAATGCCTTCTGTTCCGTCTTTCAGCATTCCTTGGCAAAATATGTACTTTACAGTTGAAGAATTATATGATCTAATTATTTCAGTCCATGCAGCCACTCGCTTCCAATCGCTTCCCTCACTCTTGAATTAGATAATTGCAAACCCTGATGCTTGATATCCACTAATCACCTACTTGAAGTATCGATCTGAAGCCTTCAAGTCTCCTAAAGATGAGAAATAGACACATAATGACTTGATTTCTGCAGAGAGAGACAACTGGAACACGCTGACAGTTTTGTATAGGAAATTACATCACCAGCAGCTTCACCTGCCTTCCAGCTGTGCCTGAATTATATAAAACATCCTCCAGAACCCCACCAATATACCCTTTTCCAATGGCTGTTGGCTCTGACTTTTGGATCATCTCCCATTTAACAATTAGCAACACTACCTTTTCTTCTTCATAGCTTTCAGAAAATTATACATGAGTAATCAGATCAAAACCCTTGATGTTTTTACTTCCCTTTTATGTTTTCAGAAGAGTTTCATTAATAGGTTGGAATCACAAACTCCTTTTTTCTGTTCATATATACACCCATGTAAATAAATCAGAGAGAGACAGAAGTTCAACACATGAACAGCCTCCCACAGAGATTCAATTAAACCTTGCTGGGTTAGATTTCATTCTGGAAGAAAAAACTCAACCAGCCTCAGGTTTTCACAGCTGAATCACAAATATGCAATTTTCATAAAACATATGCGTATACTCAGTGCTTTACAACCTAATTGTGGTCCTGGGCTTAAATGATTCACATGTTGCACTGAAGTCTGCATTTTTAAAGGCATTTTGAACAAAACAAAAAAGAATTCTAAACAAAAAAACCTATTCGGGACAGGTTGGAGAATTAGAAAGGTTATGAAAAACGAATTAGCCCTAAAATTCTTCTGCCTTGTGCCATGCATTATGAAACAGCAATAAATGCCTTGAAATGTCTCACTGCTAAATTATCTGTTTTGAAAATGAATTATTAGTGAAACAGACGATTTAACTTGAAGTAGGGGACCATGTGTTGTGAAGATCTCTGTATTAAGTCACCCAGGAGAGTGCTTTTACATGCAGTTCAAATATAAGCACCTGCCTTCCAATTATCTAATAATTTGTTTCTGCTGTGTAGTCATCCCTGGGTGCAGGCATTATCCCAGGGTAGACAGGGGAAACTTGGTGCACCAACGAATTTTAAGTAAAATCCTGCCTTTGATTTCTTACCTTGCAGCTTTCTCTTTCCACACTCATCAGTTCAGAGGAATAAGAGAATTCTCCAGGTCTTATGACTGTGATAAAAAGACAAGGCATCAGAAAATAGACTGCTGTACTACGCTGGAGCAGTGACCTCACTGGCACATTAGCTTTTCTTTCATAGAAATCAGGCTTTGATGGCCTGAACACAATGAAGGAGAAGTGGAGATTTATCTGCTTGTATAACTTCTCCTCATTCTTTTCCCTTTATCAACTTGCACAGTAGTTACTGTGGACCACAACAAAAATTTGAGGTTAGGTTAAACCACTGTAATTAAACACACTCAATGCAGTTGTGAGGTGCCCAGTAACTACATTTTACCAATTGTCTACTATTTTTGTAAGATGCTCAATTTTTTCCTCTCTTAGATTTATGGCAACGCATTTGTGGTTAATTATATGTTTGAAAAATATTTCTGCTGCCTTTGAGTTTCACAGATGATCCCTTGAGAAAAAGTAAATAGGAGAATTTAATTTACTTCTTTATATTGCATATTCTTCTTTGTGCCAAACCTCTTTCTTAGATTCCTTCTTTGCATTAGTAGCCTGTATTTTCTTACTTACCCTTTACTCTAAAAACCTTCCATCACCATTGCTAGCTCTAATATCTGCCAGGACCTTTTTTCAGGTTAAGGCTATGAGAAGTGCAGATGATGGTTAGATTGTACAATGGGATTATGGAAGGATAATGGGAAACAATGAGAACAGAGGGACAAGGCACTCTGTGGTAATAAAGGGAAGAGTAAGGGAGTGAAAAAGCATCAGTAAGAGGAGAAAATACAATACAGATAGGAAAACCAACAGGGCAAGTAAATCATTAGTTACTATATCATAACAGTATCCAAGTATTCCCAGTGAATGTATGTAGGAGGCAACAATGCCATGTAACAACCTCACTGCACCCTCCCAGAGGCTCACAGGGCAAGGTTTAAATAATTTCCTGATGGGAATGATTCCCCATTTTGCCTTTGGGTAAAGTATTAGGCAAATGATCACAAGGAGTCCAAACCAAACCAGTACCAGGTGGTAAATTAAACACCAAGAACTGGGGTTAGAGGACACAGTGCTGGTGTGTAAGGGAGGAGGTTGATAAGGTTCATTATAGCTGAAATACTTTTTTGTCATTTTGTTATGCCAGTATTGTTAAACTAATCTGCTGGTTGGCATGGTGTCCTGGGCAGGAGGTGGTGCACCTTTCTCCTGGGCAAGAATTTTATATGAACACGCCCCTTACAGCAGACTGCTGAATGCTGCCACAGCCAAAGCGCCCCAGGCATAAATGGCAGTGAGAGAGAGAGCTCTATAGTTGTCAACTAATATATGTTGGTTGTCATCCAACATATGTGTGATAGTTTCAGTCTAGGCCTTCCTGGAGACCAGCTTGTAACCAGGAAGGAACTAGGGAAGTGACCAAGGAAGTATTCCATGCTATTCCTTGACGTAAACTGAGGTATAAATAAGCCGGCCAGAGAGACCTCTCTCTCTCTTCTCTTCCGGTGAGGTTTGGGAACAGCAGGCCCCTGCGTTGGTCTTGCTTATCTGGAGCTGAGGCCTGCAGCGACTGCTGTTGTCCGCCATGCGTGAGGGGAGAGTGCTGGGCCGGATTTGGCTGTCCTGCTCTTCTCTCTTCTGGCAGCTGAAGGTGACGGGTCTCTCTGCAGACGGTCTTTGCTTGTATAGGCCAGGGCCTGCCTGCTTGGACCTCTGCCGTTATCTTTGGTCCCTTTGGGAGATGTGGGGAGTTGGCTGGTGCCTCGCATAGTTCTGCTGTCTCGTTCGGGAAGTATTTAATTCGTTTTTTGTATTTATTCGCTAGCTCTCTATTGAAGGGGTATATTTGGAGGATATTTTGGGTTTTTTTAGTTTTTTTATCCCTGTCTCCCCCTCCCTTTTCCCTTTTCCCCCACCTCGGGAGCTCCCTATCATGTGTATGATATATTCAAATTGTATATATATAATTGTAAATACATGTAAATATATATTTTTTATATAATTCCATTGGTTTTGATTTCTCTCAGTTTCTATAGTTTTTTTTTTCCTTTGCCTAAAGGGGGAGGGAGGGAAAAGGCTTTTGCTGAGTTTTGCAGACTTGGCAGGAAGTCAGCTCTATCTTGTTCAATATGTTATTCCCTTTGGGAAACTGACAAAAAAGAGGGGATTCCACAAAAAAACATGTATAAAGTTGTGGAGGTCCTTACTACAAGATTATGTAAAAACTAAAAGCTAAAAGCTTCAAGAGGAATCACAAAAAGTTGGAGGAAGTGAAATCCACAGAGTTTTTAAATATATAGAAACTTTTTCTTCTTGAAGGAGAACCTGTGCCACAAAAGTTTGGAAGCTGAAGGCTCTTGGAGGGAATATTACCTATGTTTGCCCTGTTCTTAAATTCACTTGATGGTGAGATGGTGTAACATGGTACAATAACTAGTATATTCTGAAATTAGCTGAAAATTTGAATTTATTATATACATGTGAATAATGCTTCTTTTGATACCAAACTAAGCGTGGATCATGAAAACCACCAGAAACGCCAAAAAGCAATTATTTCTTGAGAAACAACCAATCGCTCTCTTATCTCTATGTTCAGGTTTTAGGAGAGACCCACACACTTCCAAGGCAAGAGGATGAAATCAAAAGGGACAGTTCTGGCAGAAGAAAGACATGTGCTGAGAAGATACAGTAGTTTTACAGCACAGTAATGTGAAGGAACAAGATTCAGGATGGGAGAGGTTCCAGGCGTGGAGAAAAACATACAGCAATTGACAGGACTTTATTTATATGGACCTTAGAGTTATTATATGGACTTTACTGTTATTATGTGGTTTCATTGTATCCACACTACACAGTGCACAGCCTGGACATGCCCAGGCTTGCCACGAGTTTTGCCCGCTCCCTGCTTCCCCGCTCCCCTCTTGGATAGGCTGAAGAAGCTGCAGAGGAAACAGTTACCATTTACCCTTTCCTTCCCCGGTTCCTCCCACGTTGCTCCCTCTTTGCCTGTGTCCCTGCCCCGATTTGTTCCCCCGTTTGTCTGTCTCATGCTCCACCCCATATTCTAGCCCTTTCCCCATCTGAAACTCATAAAACCCCTACACCCCTCAATAAAGTATTCCAGTTGCACCTCTACCTTGTCTCCGGACCCATCCGTGCTGTGTCACAGCCCCATCCCCCCTCGGACCACGGCACAGTAATTTTCCCATACCCGTTCTCATGCTAGATCTGCTGTTCTACAGAAGGAAATTACTTGTCTCTTCTGCTGTTTCACAAATGTTAATGTTTTTATTATCTCTCCTCTGGCTAACATTCTCCTGTACTCAACAGATGACAGCCACTGTATTTACTTGAATTGTCTACATCTAGTACAAACATAATAGTCAAACCCAGTACTATTGCTCCCAAACTACATAACTGTAGAGTCTGCTGTTCCTGTTGCAGACCTGAGAAAAGGTTTGTATGGTTGAAAATTTGTCAGTTGGTTCCACCCAGATTAGTTCTAAAGGAAAAAAAATTCCATGTCTACAAACCTTGCACTAATCAAAAAATGCAAAACTTGAAAAAGAATGTGAAGGAGGGAGGAAACACAAGCCCAAAGAAAACAAAACAGGATACATGGGGCATTACATAGCAGATGTGTTAGGTCTCTGGTAGTCAAAAAAAAAAAAAAAAAAAGACTAGTAAGAATGAGAAACTACTTTATCCTTATTAGATATTGCCTGAAAAATCCCCAGAAAAGACTAGGGTTTAGGGGCTGGTATTATCAAATGATAGGTAGAAAGAGAACAACTTTTCCCTTTAAACACTGTTCAGTCTTTCCATCATAAAAACAGGCAGTGTGGTGCAGTCCAAATTAAAGGAGAAGCAGTATCACAGCTTCCTGCTAGAAATTACAGGATTTCTGATCCAGGGCTGCTTGTGTCAAATTGCCATAGTCCTGGCATGTACTGTCTCTTTCACTGCCATTTTTTTTAACTGCTGTTGGGCAATGTGGCCATGTGCTGCCAGATTCTGTCATCAATACAACCAGAATAATCCACATGCACTTGGAACTCTGCAGGCAGACGGATTAGGGGTGGACTTCAGAAGAACAATGTCATGGTTCTGCTTGATGTGGAGAGGTGCACTGTGACAGGACACTGAGACAATAAATACGCTGGCGGGCTCCAACACAAGAAAGACATACACCTGTTGGAATGAATCCAGAGGAGGGCCACTAATTGATCACAGGTCTGAAGCACCCCTCCTATGAAAAAAGGCTGAAAGATTTGGGGTGGTTCATCCCGGAGGAGAGAAGGCTCTGGGGAGATCTTATAGCACTTTCTAGTATCTAAAAGGGGCAACGAGAAGGCTGGAAAGGGACTTTTCATGAGGGCAAGTAGGATAGGACATGGGGGAAGGGCTTGAAACAGAAAGAAGGTATGTTTAGACTAGATACTAGGAAGAAATTCTTTACTGTTAGGATGGTGAGGCACTGGAACAGGTTGTTCAGAGAAGCTGTGGATCCCCCATCCCTGGAGGTGTTCAAGACCAGTCTGGATGGGACTCTGAGTAACCTTGTCTAGTGGAAGATTCCCTGTCCAGAGCAGTGGTATTGGAACTATTCCTTCCAATGCAAACCATTCTGTAATTCTATGATTCTATCCTGTTGTGGAAAAATCAAATTAGGTGATGTAAGAAAAGGGAACAGATAAAATAAGAGAAAATAGAGATTTAGAATACTGATGTAAAACGAGAAAAAAACCCTCAAGTGAGTATTTCCAAGTGAATCACTTTAATTATGTTGCAAATATAAAGTCTCCCCAATATAACAATCTCTCTGTGTGAGTATCTGGACTACAGGAATTGTGTGTTAACCTGTAAGGTACTTCTGTCTTCAGAGGATATTGTACACAGATAAGAAACTGTAATGATAGAGTTACTGATCCTCTAACAATTATGAAGGAAAACATCTAAATTTTACCTCCTGTTCTGCAATGTGAGACTCCAACATTCCTGCTCTCATCACATCTGAAGGTAGCTAGTGCTGTGAAACTGCACCCTCTTCCTCTACTGTAATAAGCCTTTAACAAGTGACATTTGTTATTAGCAGCACCACTTGCATCACAGTAAATAAGTTCCCACTAATAGGTTTCCTATTCACCAACTATGTTATGGCTTATAATTTGTCTTCATACATTTTGCTGAGCTGAAACACAGCAAAGAGGGGAAGAAAAGACAAAAAAAAGGGAAAGGGTTCTTATTCTGACTTACGCAAATATATCTAATTATATTCTGTGCCATTAGCATTCAATGAATTGCTGTTTCTGCTGGGAGTTGAGAGCCAGCAAGTTTCAGAGCTGTAGCTCTGCCTACTCCATCAAGCAGTGGAAATTCGTGTGGAAAACAGCAGCTGTCTTTGATGATGTTCATAACATGTTTATGGGTAAAACAGCCTCTTTATGATGGATATCTTATTAAGTATTTTAATACAGGAAAATATTTAATAAACAGTTTAGCCTCATCATCAACTGAAGGAACTCATGAGGGCTTCTGAGGTCATTGTGTTAGTCACGTGCCCTGTTGCTTCAGGAATCCATCTTGCTTGCAGGGTATGCATGTTACTCATGAAATCTGCAACCTCTTGAGCATGTGGCCTAGCACAGAATTAATGTAGACAATGTAGATAAGCTAAAAAGAATTTAATTTATGCCGAAATTTTTCAACTAACTGAGGTGTTTTGTTCTTGGTCAATATTTTTTAACATTTTATTCCAAAACCTATGATACCAAGTAGCCTTTTTAAAGCCCCTAGGACTTAAATTTAGGTAGAAATACTAAAATCTCTCTGGTTATTTTAAAAATA